CTTTAGTAAATGTTGTTGGGACAACTGGCTGATAGCCTGTAGAAACAAAAAGATAGACCCACATCTATCACCATACACTAAGATCCAATCTACATGGATAAAAGACCTAAACCTACATCCAGAAACCTTCAAACTCTTGCAAGAAAATGTAGGAAATACCCTGCAAGACCTAGGAGTAGGTCCTGACTTTCTAAGAAGGACACCAAAAGCAATAGCATTTGAGAACAGAATAAACAAATGGGACCTCATCAAACTAAGAAGCTTCTGTACAGCAAGGGAAACAATCAACAAAGTAACAAAGCAACCCACAGAGTGGGAGATCTTTGCACACTATATAGGCGATAGGGGGCTAATTTCCAGGATATACAAAGAACTTCAAAACAACCAAAAAACCAAAACAAACAAACCACTCAAGAAATGGGCACGGGAAATGGGCAAACATTTCACAAAGGAACAAGTCCAAATGGCAAACAAACATATGAAAAAATGCTCCAGTTCCCTGGCAATAAGGGAAATCCAAATTAAAACATAGATGAGGTACCACCTAACACCAGTAAGATTGGCCCACATAAACAAGAACACCAATGACGCTTGTTGGCGATGATGCGGGGAAAAGGGAACCCTACTCCACTGCTGGTGGAGCTGCAAATTGGTACAGCCTTTATGGAAATCAGTCTGGAGAACACTCAAACAACTCAAAATCTGCATACCATATGACCCAGCAATAGCACTCCTAGGAATATATCCAAAACACCTGTTTTACGACAAACCAACATGCATCCCTATGTTCATAGCAGCACAATCAGTAATTGCAAAAACATGGAAGCAACCAAAATGCCCATCAGCAGAAGATTGGATAAGAAAGCTTTGGTTCATCTACTCCATGGAATACTACTCAGGTATTAAAAAAAACAAAATGCAGTTCTTTGTGGCTAAATGGGCCCAAGTGGAAGCTATAATGCTAAGGGAAATGAGCGAATCCCAAAAGGTTAGATACCACATGTTTGCCTTGATTTAACTTGTAATTTTTGTTTGGTTGCTTGTTATTTTTTGAACCTGTCATTGATACTGTCTCAACCCAGATGTTTCGCAAAATGGAACTTGCATTATTTTTAACATATTGTTTACCCAATACTATGTCAATTAATTCCATAATGTTGTATATTGATACTGAGGTTTTGTTGGGGCTTTTAACTGACCAGATCTTTACTCTGTTAGCCCTATCTTCAGACCAGAGAAGGTCTCCCCAAGAGGCCACTGAACTTATCTGGACAATAAGACGCTGGACTTTATGCTAGGTATATGCTTGCAATGAAGGAATTTCAACTGAACTTGAACTGTGGTTAGGCAGCAAGGTGGAGGAATCCACCATGGGGGGAGGGGTATAGGAGGGATGGGGGGAATCCCTAGTGCCTATAAAACTGTATCACATAATACAATGTTAATAACAATAAAAAATATATATAAATAAAAAAATAATTGACATAACAACTTTACAAAAAAAATCTATTTACATCAGATATATGAAGGAAACAATAAAAAAAAGGAAAAGAAAAAAAGGCAGAAAGCAGCTTAACAACAACAATAAAAAAGAATATATGTTATATGCTTTTATAAATCTTTCATTTATGATGTTTTAACTCTGTACTCTTGATATTTTAAGCAATATTGGTTAGTTTGTGTTTAGTGAAAATTGATTTTAAATATAAGTAAACCACTTGTCACTATATAACTGCATGTGCTCCCACCGTGGAGTTCCTGGCTTCACCCAGGTTAGTGAGGGTTTGAATGAGTACTAACTTGCTCAAATTATTTTCTCTGAAGTAAAACAATGATAAGGTTTTTAGGATTGATTTTATAATCATTCTTTTATAATAAAGTTAAAATAAAACAATGGGATGTTGTGCAAAATCTTGTGATGATTTGTGTATAAACAAAGAAGGCAAATTTTCTGAGTTGTCCATAATGAGCATCATGCCATAGTGGTCCACATCTCATCTCTTTTTATTGTCTCACTGATCCATGCATCCTTTACAAGCTCTCAAGTCAGTTGGAGTGGGTCTCCAGTACTCAAACTCATCTGGGATTGGAGAGTGGTGTCATGTAACCACTGCCCTTCCAGGCTCATGAGAAGCAAGGCAATGGAGAGGGTCACTCTGTCACTGTGGATGCAAGATCAAAGTAAAGACAGCTTTCTTATGCATTTTCCTCTCTGCCTACTCAAACCTTGAATGTTATTTCTCTGCTTTCATCAATTTTTAACTAAACTTGCAGAAAAAAATTAGTGAAGTTCTAAAGCATTCTTTGAGTTATATGTCTGAGTGCTTATAGGAGTGAGCAGCATACATTTAGTACATATTTACTTACTGACCTTAAAAATAGTTTCTGGCATAAGCATGACTATGTTACCTCATTTGGGCTGCTTTTCAACAAAACATGCATAACAATTTATTTCATTTTTGCTTACGCTATGGATCAGTTTAATCACAGATTTAAGGTAAAATAATTGTATGATTTTACAACTCTTTTAGAGCTCAGCTTTCCCTAAGCAAATGTAACGCAACATAGAAAAGAATACTTGAAACATAACCAAAGATGTACAAATTCATTGTTTAATAAAACAGTTGAAAAACCTAAGAAAATCATTGTATAAAATATCTATCACATGACACCTTCTCTTACTTGGGAGAATTTAAATATATTAGAAGAAAACAGAGGTAAAAAAAACTAGGTAAGAATTGATTAAATGTTGAACAGGTATAATTAAATTCAACACAAAACAAATGAAAATGTGTTAGGAAAGGTATTTAAAGAACTTAAAAAAAGATTCTGAAAGCAATCAAAACTTTTTATAAATGATTAACATAAAAACGTGTTTAACTTTATGGTATGCAAATTCTAGCTTCATTGGTGTGTGGCTTTGTTGGTTATAATCGATTTTTAGATAATATCAATAATGTTCTTTTTCTAATTTTGGTAAATCTAATTCCATGTAGGATTCATCTTGCATAAACCTTGAAAAAACACTCCAATATTCTTTCAGTTGTTTGTTCTATACTGATTCTATTTTATTTACCCTATACTGTATCTCCTTTATCAAATGACTACCAATTACTATTTAGACAGAACACATCTCTCATACCTCAGTCTTCAATACTTATGGCATTCTCAAGCATGTGGCATGATTTATAGTTCTCTCTCCACTCTTTTTGGATTTTTCATTTTACATTTAAAAAAACAAGGAGTGTCAGTGATGGTCTAGCAGGCTAATCCTCTGCCTGCAGTCCAGCATCTTATGACAATTGGAATCCAAGCTGCTACATTTCATGTTTAACTCCCTACTTATCACCTGGGTAAGAAGGAGATGGCTGTAATTTTTAGGCCACTGTACATACATGGGAAAGCTGGAGGGGTCTACTTGTTTTCCACTGAATCAGCTATGGCCATGGCAGCCATCTGGAGAGTAAACTGATGAATGGAAGATCTCTCTGCCCCTACTGTTAATTTGTCTTTCAAATAAAACATTAAAAATAACCCAACATATCTAAATTAAGATGAAAAGATAAAAATATTGAGTTTTATCTGTAATTATTTTAAAAATTATTGGTGTTTGGAGGAATTAAGTGAAAAAACAGGGAAATCTTTTTATCTTATGAGCCCAGTACAGTAGTGAAGTGGCTAAAGTCCTCGTCTTTGGGTTCCAATTTATATCCTTTCTGGTCCACTGCCTACCAGCTCCCTGCTTGTGTCCAGGAAAAGCAGCCACGGATGGTCCAAGGCTTTGGTACCCTGCACCCTCACAAGAGACCCAAAAGAAGCTCCTGGCTCCAGGTTTTGCATTGCTCAGCCCTGGCCAGATGCTGTGGCCACGTGGGGAGTGAAGCAGCAGATGGAAGACTTTCTCTCTGTTTCTCCTTCTCTCTTTATATCTGACTTTCCAAATTAAAAAAAAAAAATTAGCTTTTACCTTACTTAATACCTTCTCAAATGTTGTTACACTCAAGTAAAAAAGTAATAATCTTTTAAGACATAGAAACAGTTTGAAAAAATTAGATAACAACAGCAATTGTACATGAAAAAAAGACAAAATAGGGAGATTTAGGTTAAGTCTCTGTTGCTCATAAACAGGGTGTGGAAAGATACAGAAAGTAGATCCATTACTTTTGGAACTTGTTCCAACCAATGGTTACTAAAACAGGATCTATAACCAGAATATATAAATACTATTTTATCTCAACCTTCACAAATCCCTTCATATATTCTATTCCACTTCCTAGGAAGCAATGAAAAAAATCAAAGGACATTAGAATGCTGTCAGAGCGATTGGGAACTGCAAAACTTTAAATAAATTTCACTGCACAGTAGTTTCTGAAGTGTGTCCCGAGGGAAGACCTTGGCCAGTATCTGGTCAGTATCAATATCAGAGGGATCACAGCTAGGGACTTATATAAGAAGGCTGGTAGAAATCACTCAGAAGTACACAAACCTCATTATCCACCTTAAGGCATTGATAATATGTTACATGATACATTCTACAGAAAAAGATGCCTCTCTTGTACTCAATGTTCAGCATTTTGGAACCTGATAGGGTCATGCCTCAAAACAGTAAGCAATAAAAATAGTCAAGGCTGTTACAGATGGGACCATGCCAATGTGCTTAATACTAAATATTTGATTTACCTCAACATAAGTCATGATGCCCACACTTAAAATAACATTTTAAATTCATTTGAACATGGAATTATAATAAAGACAAAAGCAGAGAGGCATCTTTATTCCAATTATTCAAATCCCAAATGATTACAACAACAGTAGTTGGGCTGGTGTGAAGCCAGAAGACAGGAGCTAGATCAGAAGTGAATCAGCTAGGACATGAACCAGTGGTGCCCCAGGTTACCACAGTAGGGTAACCAGAAACTTACCCTACTTTGCCATAGGGCTGCATCTGATGTTCATCCTCATAGTTGAAAGACTTTAGGCACAGGTTGGCATCCATTGGCAAGAAACTTGCTTTGGGAAGCCATTGTGCATGAAATCAGTGAGAACGTGAGCAGTAGTTATGGCAGCTGATACTTAAAACCCAGTGGCAATTACCACATCCCCAAACCAGATGCCAAACAATCCTTATGACACTTGCATATACCTCTAAAAGTATACAATGATTAGACAAGGGCCAAAAGTGATCCAATTTGCCAGATGTCACAAATGAATCACTCCTCGTTCTGAACAAAACACCAGTCCTGCAAAATAGGGTGATTAGCACTACAATTGCCACATGCATCAGTTGACACTTGTGAGTTCCATATTGCTCTGTAATAGAATATTGGCAAATTAACACTGTAAAAAAAGCTATACTAGATAACTGCATAAATGCTATATGAAATTCAAAACAAGTGTTATACGCAGAATATTTATTTTCAAAATTAAAAAATGAAAGCAGAACTTATTTACAACAAAATGAGATCAAGCAGATTCCATCTCAAATATTTTAGCAAAACATAGCCTTGTTCTGAAATGTGACACACCTCATGTTTATTATTTTGCACATCTTACTGCAATTTTATAATGTGTTCTATCTGTAATCTTACTAATGCTTGTTTGGGACTTTATAAGATTTGACTGTGATAGATTTATTGTAGCTACTTTTTCTGTTTACATATTGTTGTTTTTCTGAACTTCGTAGGATCTGCAGAGGATTGACTTCAGAACAATGATTTTTATAGTCAATAGGATAGTTCTTACTCCTTCCTATGGATATGTTACTCAACTGCAAACCCATGTCAGTTTTTGCTTTCTATTGCAATCATTGTTTTTTTTCTATGAGTTTTTAAACACTTCTTCAGTCATGTGACTTAGATTATGCAATAATTGTCTCCTAGCAAAAAGATTTTCCATACTCATCATACTGAAAAAGTTTTTCCCTTGTGTGAACTCTGTGATGATTGTTTAGGTCTTTTTTATGGCAAAATGCTTTCCCACACTCAATACATTCATAAGGCTTTTCCCCTGTGTGGATTCTCTGATGTGCAATTAGGGATGCCTTTTGACCAAAAGCTTTTGCACACTCACTACATTTATGAGGTTTTTCCCCTGTGTGAATTCTTTGATGTACAATGAGACCGGACTGCTGGCAAAAAGCTTTTCCACACTCACTACACTTATAAGGTTTTTCCCCTGTGTGAATTCTCAGATGTGTGCGTAGGCGTGACTTGTGATAAAAAGCTTTCCCACACTCAATACATTCATAAGGCTTTTCCCCTGTGTGAATTCTCTGATGCTTAATGAAATCTGAATGCTGGTAAAAGCCTTTTCCACACTCACTACATTTATGAGGTTTTTCCCTTTTGTGAATTCTCTTATGTACAATGAGACTTGACTGTTGGCAAAATGCTTTCCCACACTCAATACATTCATAAGCTTTTTCCCCTGTGTGGATTCTCTGATGTGCAATTAGGGATGCCTTTTGACCAAAAGCTTTTGCACACTCACCACATTTATAAGGTTTTTCCCCTGTGTGAATTCTCTGATGCACAATGAGACCAGAATGCTGGCAAAATGCTTTTCCACACTCATTACACTTATAAGGTTTTTCCCCTGTGTGGATTCTCTGATGAATGATTAGGTGTGACTTTCGACAAAAAGCTTTTGCACACTCAATACACTTATAAGGTTTTTCTCCTGTATGGATTCTCTGATGTATGATTAGGGATGACTTCTGAAAAAAAGTTTTTTCACACTCACTACATTTGTAAGGTTTTTCCCCTGTGTGAGTTCTCTGATGTTTAATGAGAACTGATGGCTTGCAAAAGGCTTTTCCACACTCACATTTATAAGGTTTCTCTCCTGTGTGGATTCTCTCATGCATGATTAGGTGTGACTTCTGACAAAAAGCTTGTCCACACTCACTACACTTATAAGGTTTTTCACCTGTGTGGATTCTCTGATGCATGATTAGGGATGACTTCTGACAATAAGCTTTCCCACATTCATTACAATTGTAAGGTTTCTCCCCTGTGTGAGTTCTTTGATGTGTAAGGAGAAGTGATGGCTTGCAAAAGGCTTTTCCACACTCACTACACTTATAAGGTTTTCTCCTTGTGTGAATTCTCTGATGTGTAAGGAGACTTGATTGAGCACTAAAGGATTTTACAAGGTCATTACATTCATATGGTTTCTCTTTATTGGGAAGTATCTTATTTCTAGTGAATTCTGACTTCTGGTAAATGTTTTTCTTACATTCATTGCACACATGGAAATTTTCTCCTATATCACTTCTCTGTTTGGTGGTAAACCTAGAATTACAGGTAAAAGACTGTTTGCAGTAGCCACATATATAGTGACTTTTTGCTGTTTGTATTATGTGATTTATTTTAACATCTCTTTTATAAATAGGACAATTCTCATTCTTGAAAGGTTCATGGAGTTTCTTCTCTGAGTGTGTTTGTTGATGCTTGCCAACATAAGGATTGCTATGGAACATTTTCTTGTCAAACTGAATTGTTTCTCCTACAATCACAGGGCAATTACATGGGTCTTTGATATGAGTTTTCTGACACTTAAAGAATATCTTCCTGCTGAAAGTATTTTCTTTCCTATTGTGTTCAAAAGACTTTTTACAAGTGTATATCTTGTCATGCTCACTGATATTTTCCCCACATTGGAGTTGGTTCTCAGGAACATTAGAGGCTTGCTTTTTCCCAAGTGACATTTCGTCAGGCTCCCTAGGAAAAAAACACATTTTGAAACAAATTATGGTGTCCTTTCCTCTCTTTCCAAATGGTACCCCCATCTTTGAGATCTTTCCTGGGACACACTTTCCTCCTCCCCTCTTCTTTCTAAGTTCACCTGGTCACTTCAGAAGGAAACCTTCTGTAAGCAACTGAGTTCCAGTTTCTGTTCCCATACTAAGCTGAGGAAAGAGCCACTGAGATTTCCTGGTAACGTTTTCTCTGGTGCCCGAAACAAGTCATGAAAAAGGCTTCTTATACCAGTCATGTGGCTTGACTCAGCAGGCAGAACAATTTACCATGTTGGTATGCTTTCCATCAAGTGTGATTGAACTTTGAAAATGACTCGATAACACTTGGCTCTGAATAAATATGGGTCCCTCCATCCTATCCACTGTCCACCACCTAGCTCTGGTTGAAACTCCAAATAGGTTGTTTTTTCAAGGGGGATGAATTGCTCTATTTCTATCATCTCAATTTCCCCTTTGGGAATAAGCATCTGGGTGCATGTTTGAAAAAAACCTGGTGGAGGACTGACAGTCCCTGTCAAAGGCTACTTTTCTGCCTTAATGGAAACTCCCTAAGTGGATTCTGAATGCGGACCACCTGGCATGGTACCCAAGTGCCAAACTCCTCTTATGTTTCATGTTGGTTTATCCTTGATGGAGGGCTGACTCATGGCACCCCCACAAGTATTCTGCCTGGTTTTGATCATTTGAAATGACTCATGTGGACCTTTGATAACCACCTCTACACTCCTGAGATGAAGTAAGAAAAGACCAGTTCCTTTGTTTTTTCTTCTGTCTCAATTCTATCATCCATGTGGCTTCCAACATCAGAGATCTGAACAGCCATACAAAGGGAGGGGGACATTCGAAACTACACAGTAGGAGCTATTGATTGAGAGACAACCAATGGGAAATGTCTTCCCACAGGTTCCTGCTCAGACAAGAGTCATGGAACACTTAAAAACCCAAGACTCTTCTGAAAAATGTTGGTGATCCTCCTTCTTTCCACTCAACAGGTACCCCATTTCCTGCTCATTCCAATCTGGTCCTTTTCCATTCTGTCTGCTTTCTACATTCACCTGATACCTTTACAAATTTAACTTCTCTGCAAATTAAAAAATAAAAAGAAGAAGTTATATTTCTAGATTCTCTTTTATACAATTTCCTTTTCATAGCATGTTTCAATTATGGCCAGAGCTTAAATTAATCATCTTTGGCAATGTAACTCTTTTTGAAGCTATAAAATTTTTGATTGCAACTTGCCTGAAAGTGGTTTCTTGATTTTCTGGATTAGTTCCAAGCAGCTCATTCTTTCTGTAAGGATCTGAAATGAGGAAAAAGAGTAACCATATCCATGAATCACATCTAAGTATTTCTTTTCAAATGCTCAAGTAAGATAATGATGTTTCTTGCCATTCTAGATATAACAGATTTTAATATTCAAGAAGTGCGCACATTTATGATTCTTACACTTTTTAAGTTAATGCATTAATAAATAGGGTTTCTTTTTCCATTTTCAATTACTTGGGGTTTTGTATTTTAAGTTGATGAGGGTAGAACAGAAAATATGGTACAGACATTCAAACCAATGCTTAGGATGTATTACATCACATAACAGTTCCAGTTTTTCTTGTCTTGCTGGGACCATGTAAAAGATCAATATTTATTTCTACGTTTTTTGTTTCAGGTTGATAAATTTTAGCATTTGAAGACATTGTTAGAATAGAACTATGCATGGAGACTGTAGAGTGCCTTTGTCTCATACATGACATAAGCTGATTTTGGAAGAAACATTTTTTTTAAAAATCAGCATGAATTCCAGTGAATATTTACTGAGATATGTATCAACTTCCCTTCCCAGTATGTATTGCCCTACCTGGAACCTGCTGGTGTATAGATTTTTCCACAGTCCATGGTACTGATTCTTGTTCCAATTTGAAGATCACATCAGGTTTTGTTATGTGGTACCCTGCTAATTGGAAATAATAGACATTTTGTGAAAACACTCTCTTGGATGGAGCTTAAAAAAGAAAAGATTGGATCTAGAATCTGTCACAAAATGGCTAATATGAATCATTATCTGAAGAGTAAATATTAAGATTCTTTTTGTTTTGTTTTTTTTGCATTTTATTATTATTGCTATCATTTTATGATACAATTCCATATTCTCTTACCCCCTCGCCAAGTCCCTCCACCCCCCAACTAGTTCCTTTATGTCATTACTAACACATAGTTCTTCATACTTAGTCATATGTCCATCATTGCAGACATGGACAATGGTAGAGAGTCCAGAATCCTATTGTCAAGATATAGTAAACAGTTTCATTATAAGTCCATCTTTGTCTGTAAACAGAAATGCATATCACACTGCATCCTCACATCTGGATGTTAGTCTCCATTTCATAGCTACTGTACATCCCCACAAATGAAAAGTCATAACACAAAATCAACAATAGAAAGAAAAATAGAAATTTACAATGCCATGAAGTTAAATCACATATTACTAGATATGACAGTCTCCAGTACACAGCTGCCATACATCCCCTTAAATGAAGAGCGCCAAAAAAAAAAAAAAAAATCAACATCAGGGAGACAAAAAAAATTAAAAACACCAAGAAGTTAAACAACATGCTATTAAATGACTAACATGTAGCTGAAGAAATGAAAATTAAGAACCTTCTTGAAGAAAATGATGCTACGAGTCACTGAATGATTTAATCAGAAGAAAGTGTTTTGAAGAGATGAAACTAACCAAAAACAAAAAAGCCCATATGATACAGTTTCTGCTGATCTTTGTTGAAGTGTGTCTCCTCCCGACAATAAACAAATGGGTTTTGTTCTTGAATCCAGTCTACTAATCTGTGATGTTTGATTGAGCTTAAGCCATTTACATTCAGAGTTAAATATACATGGTTAGTACTCTGGTCCTGTCAATTTAGGAATGGGTTTTTCATTGCTTTAGCCTTCTGTTGTCATTTTGCTGGATTTTCTTCCCATTTGCCTTTGGTTTTGGTAGGTGCTACTCCTCTTCCTGTCAAAAGAACATCTTGAACTATCATTTGTAGGGCAGGTTTGAAGAGGCAACTTCTTTTAGCTTTTCTTTACTCTGGAAGAATTTGATTTCATTTTCAAAGATGAAAGAAAGCTTTGCAGGGTATGTTATCTGAGACAGACACTCTTTTTCTTTCAGAATCTGGAATATGTCACTCCATTCTCTTCTGGCCTGTAGAGTTTCCTGTGAGAGATCTCCTGTGAGCTTAATTGGCCTTCCTTTATATGTTAATTGATGTTTTTTTTCACATGCACATTTAAGAATCTTTTCCTTATGTTCAATTGAAGAAAGCTTGATGATCATATGTCCTGGTAAAGATAGCTTTTGATCAAGCCTTTTGGGAGTTCTGTGCTCCTCCTGGATCTTGTTTCCCAAGTCTTTCTCCAGATTAGGGAAATTTTCCTTTTTTATTTCATTAAGTGCATTTGCAAACTCAGCTTCTTTCTGCACCTTCTGGGACTCCCATAAGTCTTATATTTGGCCTCTTCAGTGTCTTTCAAATCTTGAATACTATTTTTTGGCCTGATCCAGCTCTGCTTACAGCTTTTTGTTTGCTTCCCCCTGGTGACAGGAGATATCTGCCAATTCTGAGATTCTTTCTTCTGCTGCTTCATTATATTTTGGAGACTCTCCACTGTATATTTAATTTGCTCTACTGTGTTCTTAATTTCTGATATATCAGCCTTGATTTGCTTTATTGCTTTCTTAAATTCTTTGAACTCTTGCATGAGCTTCTCATTTTTGATCAGAATCTTTAAAATGAGTCTTATGGATTCTGTGTCCCCCATTTTCTCAATGTCTTCCTCAGTTAACTCTGAGGTTGGCATAGAGTTTTGCTCCTTTGCAGGGGAGTTTTCAGTAATATTCATTGTGCCTTTGTCTCTTGCTTTTGATCATTGTACTTCTGGTTAGCAGAGTCTTCTTCTTGGGGCAGGTTTCTAAGCTGTGTCACCCAGAGGTCTACAATGTGATTTTACTTATTGCAGTTGGTACGCAACATTTTGCTCACAAAATTGTGCCACAACCTCCAGGGAGTTCCAGGTCTGGGTTCTTATGTCAGATTTCCACTGTGGTCTCCACAGCCCCAGCTCCTGGGCTCACCACTCTCCACCTCCTGTGATACTGTGCTGAGGCTGCACTGTTCTCTCTGCAAACTTTCTCCCACTTCTGGTTGGAGCAAGTCCCAGGATTAGAGAAACACTAGGTGTACTATCTAGTTAGTTTGTTGGTGGTGCTGATCCTGTTGGAACCTGCTGGATGTTAGCTCTGGGAGCCACACAGATCTATTTTGACAGGTACGATGTCACAGTTGGTATTATTTTTCTGCAGGACCTCAGCAAGTTCTTGCAAGCTCAGCACATGTGTAGTTCACTGTTGTCCCCTGCAGTTCCAAAGCTATTGCCACAGTGCACAAAATGGCACCTCTCATACCACCACTAGAGTTCTTGATCTGCTGGCCGTCAGATCCGAGGGCTACGCAGACTTGCCCTGGGTGTAACCTGTAGAATGCCACATCGTTGCAGTTCGTGGAGTCAGAAATGAGCTCACTCCTAGCTCAGAGCATGCTCCATCCTTTCCCTTGCCCTTTCCTCCTTACGCAAACTGGCACCCAATTCAGCTTTTGGGGCTGACTGGGCTATGAAATCCACTCTGTTCTCGCTCTGCCCCTCTGAGATTTGCTGCTCTGTCTCTGCTCCTGGTAAATCAAACGGATCAGCAGGATGGACAGTTCTTTGTCTGGATTCATCTTCCAAGCTCCCAGTGAAAGTCCCTTCCCACCTGGTTGCTGGTGGAGTTCCAGCTGCTGGTAGAGTTCAGATTGCTGTGCTGGAGTTATCAGTCACTGCAACACCACAGTGCTGTGCCCGCTGCTTTCCTGTGTCAGTCTCCAGGTACCCCTCTGCTGTTGTTCTGTCCTTTCCTATTTCCAGAAATATGTCCTCTCTACTTCATCCTGATTGTTTCTCCGGTCATGTAAGTGTGTCCTTACCCTGTTCCATCATCTTGATTCTCCATTATTAAGATTCTTTAAAGCCTCAAATACTAGTCCTACTAGGTACTAAACTTTATAAATTCTTAATTGGTCAAGTGTAAAGAAAATTTTCTGCTTGGGCATGACAGAATTTCACTCACCCACAGACAGCAGATTGTTATATGTCTCAAGCATCACATCCCTGTACAGGGTCCTCTGAGTATTGTTCATCTTCTGCCATTCCTCCTGGGTAATGTCCACAGCCACATCTTCAAATGACACCAACACCTGGAACACACATGTCTCCTCAGTTCTGGATCACTCAATAGAAAGACTGACAGTACATTCTTCTACGTATGTTTAATTTGCAACTTCTATTGATGCAGCTTAATTTATAATCTATATGGCATTATAGGGTAAAAGCAAAATGAAAATACTCATTCTGCATTAATTTTGCAATTCTAAAACTACAATAGACTATTCCTTATTATTCTGTAGCAGATTCTTTCCTCTAATGACTCTGAATTTGATTAAAATAGTTTGTCCCAGTTATTGCCACTCTGCTTTTCAATTCAATTAAAATAAATGAGCATTTTAACATTGAGCATAAACATAAACTCAGTGTCTGCAATAGTAAGCTAAGTTTTTTCAAACTGGCATGTTCCCTCTTATTTTCTTTCTGTAGAATTCCTTCTTATCACAATGGTATACTGGAGGCTTCTCTACTGATTTCTCATCTATGAAGCAGAGAAAAGTTTTCTGGATCATTTACTTAAGGCAGAGGCTTAGGAAATGAGTCCATTCTCTGTTGAAAACCACATATTAAGAACAGAATCTGTATCCATGGATGTATCACATTCAGTCTTCTGAGGGATATGACTAAAACTTCAGCTCAGGATTGCTATTCTTTGCATCTTCTAAAGACACAGATTAAATTACAGTGTATATGACAACATAAACACAAAATATCTTGTCCTACATTGTATTTGAAATTCTGAAGTTACAATGGAATTCCTTTATTATTCTGTACGATTATTTTCTCTAATAATTATAAAGTGAGTTCACTGTGTAATCTGTAAATATGAACATTGAGCTAAATAACATACTAGATGAGATAAGAAAGACACATGTTTAATACTGGATAGGATAATAACATTTTTGAATAATTCATGATATTTTTCTCAAACAAGCTGATACTTAAAAAATCTTATAAAGTGACATTAATAAAATTCAATTTTCCAGTTTTCTTGGGAGCTATATATTATATAGTCATATGAAGCCATTTTGAATATAGATCTAGGTCAGTGGAAAGTCCCAGCTAGCAAAGTGCAAGAGAAACCAGGTCTTAAGACACCATGCGGTTTACGAGTCATTTAGCAACCTACCCTGCTCTGACCATCCTTGGTGCTCATGACAGGATTTTGGCTTATGCCCTACCTGTCAGCATCCTCCTGTGAGCATAAAGGAGTTTGGGAAATACTACCCAGAAAAGAGTTGTGAAACCATGCCTACCTCTTGTAAGCATAAGGGGCTTTTAGAGATAGCTATCCAGAAAGAGCTGTGAAAGCATACACCAGACCCTACTTTCTCTTTCTCCTCACCTATAGATCCTGTTTTGCAGAGTATAAAGGCTTGTGTGTGAAAAATAAAATTTGGTCAGCTTGATCAGACATACTGTGTTGCTGTCTGTTTCTTGTGTCTCTTGTCCCCCATTCTCTCCTAGGCTGGCTGCAATCCAGTTGACTGTCCTGCTGGATGGGATATTTTCTTATTTTAACTTGAAAAATAAAATATTGGAAAAAAATTTTAAATTAAATTTGCACAAATGGGTGAATAGTTCCTACAGCTTACTCTGGATTTAAATACATATGTGATTTTTTTCTTTTTACTTTGGAGTATGTATATATTAAAATCCTTTCTGCTTTCTATTTGTTTTACATTTTATGAAAAAAATATTTAAATTAAGCTAAAATTTTAAATACAGTGAACTTCAAACTTAGTAGGGAAACAAATTACAACCTTATTCCGAACTACCTTCTTGTAACAAGTAGCTAAGTCTCAGCCAGTCATAGGCTGCCAATTGTACAGAAAATATACATATAAGGCAAATGCCAAGCTGTTATAAATCAATATGCTTCTGTGCTTTGGAAGCCCCTTAAAATTAACCAATTATCACTTTTGTTTTCTAGCTCTTTATTTATTTATTTATTTATTTATTCACTTATTTATTTTAATATTATGCTTCATCATTTGTTTGAGAAGACTGCATTTGCACCAATACTGATAAACACAGGTGTTTCTTCCTTTTGTTTTTGTTGCTTGATTGTCCAAGGTACTCTATATAATAGAATATGGGATATTTATATAACTGTAACTAGCATATTTTATTTAACCCCTTACCCTCTAGTTACACTCATTTTCATGCAATCCACAAAATTTTGTTTTCATAGCTGAATAATAGTCTATTGTACATATGCACATTTTCCTTATCCCTTCATCTAATGATGGACACCTCAGATCATTCCATATATTGTGTATTATGAGCACTGCTACAGTAAACAAGATGGCTACAGATATCTCTTTTATACAATGTGTTCATACTTTCAGGGCATACAGGATAATAATTTCAAAATTTTATACAGTGATTAAATTAATTTGTCACCCCATCAACATTGTATAAAAGTTCTCATTTTCCACATATTCACCAGCATTTGTTATCCTTTCTTCTAAGTAATAATAATCATTTGGTCAGGGTTGGGGTGATATTTCATTGTGATTTTGATTTACATTTCCCTAATGGCAACTTTTTAAGAACTACCTACTGAGATCTCTAGCTCACTTACTCTCTTTCATCTTATCTCCATAAATCTGTGTTTTAAATAAAAACCAAAGCATATGAAGCAGGAGCCAGGCCTTTGCTTTAGCAAAGAAACTGACATACTACATGGGCATTGGTTCATATCCTGGACGCTCCACTTCTGACCCAACTCCCTGATAGCAGGCCTAGAAAGGAAGTGGAGGATGGCTCAAACACTTGGGTTCCTGTAACCAAGTTGCAGACCTGGACAAAAACCCTGTCCCATGATTTAAGACTTGCTCCTCTCTGGACATTGCCAGCAGATGGGAGATCTCTCTCCACCTCTCTCTCTTTCTTAGTAGCTCTGCTTTTCAACTAATAAATCTGAAAGACAGAAAGAAGGAAGGAAGGAAGGAAGGAAGGAAGGAAGGAAGGAAGGAAGGAAGGAAGAAAGAAAGAAAGAAAGAAAGAAAGAAAGAAAGAAAGAAAGAAAGAAAGAAAGAAAGAGAAAGAAAGAAAAAGGAAAACACCTTGCAAAAGGAATTGGCATTGTGGCATATCAGGTTAAGCTACCACCTTCCCCATTTCCAGTCTAGCTTTAAGCTAATGTGCAGTGGAAACAGCAGAAGATGGCTCAAGCACTAGATTCATCTAGAGACACAGTTGGACATCCTGGTTCTTCTCTTTGACACAGTCCAGCCCTGACCACTGTGGACATTTGGGAAATCAATCAGCAGATAGCAGACATGTCTTAAATCAGTTTTTAAAATAAATAAAAACCTCCAAATACTACTAGGCACCATACTATTTCAGCAATTCCAAAAAAGCAAAATTGAAAGCTTGGTAACTATTTTTATATTTGGAAACTCTTACTACTCCCAAATGTTGAGTGCTTATTTTCAGGTTGGTACTGAAGGATTTTCATTATATTGTCTGTAAGATCAATAAATACCATTTCAAACTTGATATCCCACAATAATTAACAAATTCTTACTTTAAATTTGAATCATGTAATAAATATATCTTAGTTATATTATCAGAAAACTTGGAGGAAAAGTTTGAATCAGATTTAACTGCTCCAATGTCTAGTTATGACAATCTTACCTTCTTTCTCCAATGGTTATTTCTTTGTTTCAGTTTAAGAAAACCATCATAAAGCTCCTACAACACAATGTAACACAGAGACATAAACATATAACTTACTGAAAGTGTGTTTCTGTTCTCTAGACGTGGAAGCATATAGTGGGTTCAGGGATAAACCTGGAAGAAAAGGTGGAGAAGGAGTTACGGATTGGTTTTGCTTTCCCAAGTTTCCTTATTACTCCCTATTGTGTAAGTAATGTCAAGACAGGAACCAGACACAACGGCTAGAGAAACAAAGACAATCAACTTTCCTGGGCATGAATAGTGTATTACAGATGACAAGTGCCATGGAGGCTTCCTAGAAACAGCATAAACAAGTTCAATAACTGGTAGTGATTAAACTCAAGCTATTACTAGGTTAAAGCAAACATTTTATACTTACTTAAAAATAAAAAATATATTACTGCCAAGCACTAAGTTATTTTTTTCAACAACTACTGTTCAAACTACAACATACCATAAAAAAAAAAAAACATATTGTCACTAAAATTGATGCTACTCAAAAATGATTGGGGGTATTAAGCATTTGTCCATTTGTACAGATGAACTGCATAGGACTCCATACAAGGACTTCCATGAGAACATTAATTGCTGTTAATACTAAAAACTGTTGAAGACAGACATTTTTCAATTAGAGTAATTGTATCTGCACTTATACAGGAAAAAATGATGTAACACATAATTATTCTATACAGCTTTCTAGTAACTGCTCCCATTGAAACTTCCTAAGACTTCAATGACATTTCCCAGCTCTTAAACCTTCAATGACACTTGACTTTGCCATTTTATTTGCCTTAGCCTATAGGACATCTATAAATATGACAGCAACATAGTTTGAAATATATTTTTATTTTACCTCATTAAATACTTATATTATAGCAACAGCCAGAGAAAACCATCAGACTCAGAGGATTGATGTCATGATACAGGTTGTTGGGCTGCTGCTTGGGATAGATCACATCTGATACCCAATTGCCTTGTTTAAGTCTACTGGGTATTCAACACTATCAACACAGTATCCTGCTATTGTGCCTGGAACACAGTGGGTGGCGTACTAAATGGGTTATTGGCATACCTAAATGATTCCTGTTGCTGGACTAAGCATTGCATAGCCCGCAACCATCCGATGGAATATCTCTCTCCTCTCTGAAATATACCTTTCAAATAAATATTGTATTAATAAAAGTGATTAAAAAGAAATTACTGTATCTAAAACTACACATTTTAGGTTGATTTGGGGATATATCTTGTGAGGAATAAGGAATTAATTTTCAAGTTCAATTAAATAGAACTTCACAAAGGCATTTCTATAACCTGTTTTTTCAGGTATTTGGATATTCTAGTTTGATTTAGTCATAATAAGGATTTTATTAGTAGTAGTAAAATGGTTTATATATTTTTAAACACTTGAAAATAGGACTGGTATGGCTAAAGTCCTCGACTTACATGCGCCAGGATCCCATACCACAGCTGGTGTGTGCACCATCCAGCCAGTTCCTGTCCAATCAAGCTTCCTGCCTGTGGCCTCAGAAAGCAGTAGAGGATGGCCTAAAGCTTCAGGACCCTGTACCTGCATGGGAGAATCAGAAGAAACTCCTGTATCCTGCCTTTGGATGGGTTCAGCTCCTACCGTTGAGGCCACTTGGGGAGTGAACTAATGAATAGAAGATCTTCCTCTGTGTCTCTCCTCTTCTTTTTATATCTGGCTTTCCAATAAAATTAAATTTTTAAATACTTGAAAACTGGTTCATGCTAAAAACTGAAGCACTTTTACCAGTCAGTAATGGATAACATACTAAGTAAGAAAAACTGCATTACAAATTGATTTATTCACACAATCCAAAGTATTGAAAAAGGATTTGCAGAGAAGAGACAAACACAAAGGTCTTGATCCCTGCTGATTCACTCTCCAAGTGGCTGCAATGGCTGGAGCTACACTGATCTGAAGCCAGGAGCTTCTTTCTGGTCTCTCACGCAGGTGCACGTTCCCAAGGCTTTGGGCCATTCTCTACTCCTTTCCCAGCCCACAAGGAGGGATCTGGATGGGAAGTGGAGCATCTGGGGCATTAATTAATACCCATGTGTGATTCAGGTATATCCAAGCGTTTAGCCACTAGGCTACAGCACCAGGCCCACTAGAACTCCACTGGCAGCTCCTCCGACTTGCAGCAGGAGCCGGGGCATTCTGCAACCAACTATGCTGCAGCACCAACCAACAGGAGCTGGAACTGCAGGCAGGCTGGAATGTCCCACTGGTTGATGCCGAGGCAAGGCAAGTCATGCCTGTCTGGGGTGGAAAGGCAGTGACTATGAGGCTTGGGAGCAGTGGGCTGACAGGACCTGGGTCAACTGGCCTGGGTTCTTGGGCTCGTCTGTTATGTTGGATGCTGGGTCTGTGAGCCCATAGGAGACTGGGGTTTTGGCACGACCAGCATCACATGGTAGGGGTCCTTGGGCTAACCTGCGTGGTGGGTACCTGGCCCAGTGGTGTTCAAGTAACCTGATCGAGGTCCTAGAGCCTGCATGCACAGTGGGTGCTGGGTCCTTGAGCCTTGGGGACAGGGGGTTAGTGAGGTCCAGATAGTCTAGCCAGTCCTTCTTTGAGCCCACATGCAGGGAAATGCTGGGTTCATGAGTCCTGGGGAGGGAAGATCCAGTGAGATTTGGATCACGTTGCACCCACCTGCATGGTGAGTGCCAGGTCTGTGAGCTCCAGGGGCAGGGTTCTGGTGATGTCAGGGTTGCATAGCCCAGGTCTTTGGGCCTTCTTGCAAAATGTGTGCAGGGTCAGGTGGAGGCCAGGTCATGTGTTCTAGGTCCTTGAATCTGCTTGTACACTGGGTGCTGGGTCTTAGGTCTCAAAGGCAGGGGGTCCAGTGGGGCTCAAATCACATGGCTCATCTCTTGGGGCCCGCCTGCATGGTGGATGCTGCTCAGGTGAGCCCCTGGGGCATGGGGTACAGTGCATGCCAAGTCTCCTGGTCTGGATCCTTGAACCTGACTCATACATTCTTTCTTAGAAATAAGTAACTTTTATAGGCCTGTTTCAGTAGCCTAGTAGCTAAAGTCCTCATCTTGCACATGCTGGGATCCAATATTGGTGCCAGTTTGTGTCTTGGCAGCCCTGCTTCCCACCCAGCTCCCTGCTTGTGGCCTGGGATAGCAGTAGAGGATGGCCCAGGACCTTGGGACCCAACACCTGTATGGGAGACCCACAAGAAGCTCCTGGATCCTGGCTTCAGATTGGTTCAATTCTGGCCATTGCAGCCAGTTGGCAAGTAATCAGTGGATGATAGATCTTCCTCTCTGTCTTTCCTCCTCTCTGTATATCTGAATTTCCAACAAAAATAAAGTAAAAGATAAGTAAAGCTTATTTTTGATGATATTTACATACTTGAGAGGGATGCATGCCCATGAAGACAATTGATTACAGTGGGGAGGTTGAGGAATGGAAGAAAGTAGATGAGACGGATCTTTGGATGACACTGGGTGGCCTTGCCCCATTCTGGGTAGCTGTTAATGAATTGTCACAATAGCTGATTTTTAGTATACTCAAACACTTGAGGCTATAAATGAATTCACTATAAATGAAAACAGGGCCCCATTTACTGTGCCAGTTTATCTGGTATGCTTTGTATTCTTTCTTGTGTTTCAGAAACCTATGCTAACAAGTTTTGTCTGTTTCCTGTATCCAGCCCTATGTGCCTCTGGCTATGCCTACTTTTATGTATCTCAGATCTTGCTCATGGCACTGTAAGTTATCTACAGTTTGAACACCTCACATGACTGGGACCCATATTCATCCTTGCATTTACCCATTTTAAAAATCTTTCCTTTAAACCACATCATTAAAGTCAATTGTCCAAGCGCCTGCAACATAAGCCAGCTGCTTGTAAAGAATCATTCACTCTGTTCAATAAGCAGTATTATTAGATATTCTATACCTTTAGAAAAAATTCTATCTATTCATTACTTTATTTTAAGAACTGAATGGGACAGTGGCCACTAAGGCAGATGTGCCACCTTAAATACCTGCCACTCCTAGGTCTTGAACACCTTAGAGTGTCATAACTGTAAGCTTCATGCCCTTTAGGTTTAAATTGAATTCTCTGCAAATCCTCTGTACTTTATAACATGATACCTGACAGCTCTATTCACCAATGTCCTGTGGTATTTATCCCCTTTGTCCACTTACATCTGCATCTGCCACGCCTGCAGCCCTGCACTCCCAATACCCACCTCTATACCTTCCCATTCTTCTGCTTTCACTCACCTCTTTCTTTGTCTGTCGCTCACTGCACTCTCCTTCCCCATCTCTTATCTTTGTTCCTTCCCCGCCCATCACTGGGGTAGGGCTAAACACAATAAAGAAAAAAAAAAAAAAACTATTACTTACAAATTTGTTCAGTAACTTGCTGTAACAGAGACCTCCAAAAACAATGGATATTCAACTAAAGGTCTTTACAGAGTTTAAATTTTAAGCAAGATATTTTCTTGTTTATAGAATAGATTTATTCATTTTTATTGGAAACTCAGATATACAGAGAGGAGGAGAGACAGAGGGAAAAAATCTTCTGAATATAAACTTAATACCTAGCCTCTTTTACACTTTGCACAATGTTTGTGCATAATTAAATATAACATTGAAAGCATTCTCTAAAAAATACAATGTTTATATCAAGGATAAACTGGTATAGAATTAAAATATAATCAATTGTTAAATTGTTTCATGTATGAGATGAACCCATGTTCTTTGTTAGTTAATATATTAAGATGCAAAACGGTTACAAACATGGAAATGTGCTCTTGATGAGGAAGATTGTAAAAGAAAAATTTGTGATAGAATTGATTATAGTTTACTACCATTTGCAACATTTTCTAAACAGTTATCATCGATACATGTGATAGAAATCTGATCCTCTGTTAAAGCAAGTTTTAAAATACATACGTTATTGAAAGATCTTTTAAATGGTTAAAGGGCTTTTACCTAATTAATAACAAAACTTTTCACCTAGCTCCAGTAAATTCTAGCTCTGATAAATTGTCTCATGTGAATGTACTACCTCTTAAATCTAAGTGCTTTTTATATAAAAGTAATCTGTGATTTCTGTCTTTCAAGAGGTTTTCATTGCTTAAGATCAGCAAATGGCCTGACACAGTAGCCTAGTGGTTAAAGTCCTCACTTTGCAAACACTGGAATTTCTTATACGCGCTAGTTCTAATCCCAGATGCTCCACTTCCCATTCAGCTCCCTGCTTAAGGCCTACCGCGGGTCCAATGAATCTTTAAAAAAAGAATTTATTTCCTAAATTAATCATGTACACACACTTAGCACGCCATCATAAAAATCTACTCCTTGAAAGAAGACTATTTCTGTAAAGTTACGTGAACACTGGCCCTAAGACTCCAGCCATTTTGGAATCAACAAAATTTTAAATATCTGCTTCCTCTAAATCTCAGCTTCCTTAAGATTCATATGCCCTTTAGGTTCAAATTTTGTTGTCTGCCAATCCAGTGCAATTTCATAATCTTATTTCCACCAATCCACTGTAACCTCATGGCACCATTCCTGAAGGCCCTGTCCTTGCCCACCACTGTTCCTGCCAATTTCCTGTGGCCCCAACAGTTCTATTCACTAACCCCTTGTTGCCCACTCACGTCCCTTTCTAGCAATCCTTCAAGGCTCCCTGTCACCTGCCCTCAGCTGTAATGGCACACTCTCACACGCTTGCCATGCTCCTTCTTGCTCTCCCCCTCTAACCTACTTCCCCTGGAGCCCATTCCTGTCACTATGGCAGAAGATGTCTTAGTTCCCTCTTTCTGCCTCTGCACTTGTCCCCATGGCCATTTTCCCTGTTGGAATAAAACATGCATGGCTTGCTATGTCGGGTGTTTTGGCTTGTGGCAGCAAACTGAAAAGATCTTATATTGAATGAAATAATACTGGAAAGGGTTAACAATATTTCTTTTCATATTTGGAACTTGACACAGCAGATTCTCAAATAGGGATTTGTTGAAGGAGCACTGATTGCAAAACAGAGCAAGGAGCTGTGCTTCTAACAATTAGAACCCACTGTTCATCAGTTGAGCATCTTGCATTGTATAGCAATGAGCTCCGTCCCTTAAATCATTCAATGACAGGACAATCACAAATGGTTTGGATGCATGTTAATTAATGAATTTGAAGGCCTCTTGTATCTATCTCTAACCTTGGGTTCTATGAAGAAAGTGACAAAAATTAGGAAGAGGACAAACAGAAGGAAAAGAGAGTTGCATACATGAGTGAAACTCCAATACTCAGAAAGAACAATTTCAGAAAAAAAAATTGCAAGCGTAAGTGTTTTGTTATTGGACAAGAGCTTCTTAATTGCCAGCATGTAGTAGACATGGGAAACTCTGAATTACAGATGTGGTGGATGAAAAGGGATGTCAGATCTGTAGTATCAACCAACTGATCTCTACCGTTTCTTGCTGAGCCTGGTCTTATTTCTAAGTTCAGATTCAGCTCAGAAGGGATTCAGACTGAAGAGCCAACCAAAAAATTGTGCTAGTCATTTTGACTGTTTTCTAAGCTGCTTCCTAAGAAAACAAATTTAACATTTTGTCAGCCACATTCCTGAATAATAAAAGCAATGTCACTGTCTCCCAAAGCAAAAGACAAAAAGGTGGGTTTGGCACTTGCCAGTGCAGAATGGAGTTCAGAATGATGGAAGACTGACAGTGTTCTTTATAGTGTTTCCACATGGTCACATCAAGAAACTAAATTAGTTGCCCACGCCTGTACTTTGAGCACCCCAATAGATGATCCCTCCAGGAAACCTCTCTTCAGATTTCTCACTACTTGTCTTTCCACTTTCCCAGTCTCTTGCCTTTAGTCATAAATAATTCATTTCTAGAATATAAGAATGACTGGGATGGAAATACAGGTGAAGAGAAGAATTGTAAAACCCAGAACTACATAGCATATGTTAACAGGGAACCACTGGACAGTTTGTATTTCTCTGCCTGTTTAAATTTCCAGCTTTATTTTGTATATTAGTAAACATAATGAGGTTACACATTACAGAGTGTGTTATCATGCCATATTCTTTATACATATGGATTCCCTGGTTTTCACTCATCTTAGAAGTTAGGCACTATCATTTCTATTTAACAGATTAGGAATTCATTCTCAGACAAACTACACATCTTACCCAAAGTCTTATATTCCATAAGCAGTAGAACCTGGATTCAAACACAGATTTTTTTTTTCTCTGATTCCATATCCAGACTTGATCATTACTTCAGCACAGTCTCAAAGAATCAGAGACTTACTACTAAGAAAGACCTTGTAAGCTGTCACCCTAAGTTAACCACGGGCAAGCAGGCTACAAGGAGACCCTTTCAAAATATCCAGAGACATTTTAACATTTTAAGCAGTCACAAATGGGCAGGTGCTACTGGTATCTAGTGAGTGAAAGCCAACCACATCTCAAACATTCTACAATCCACAGAAGAGACTGCACAATGAAAGATTAGCAACTCTAAAGCATTAATAATGCCAAAGTTAAGAATCCTTGTGGTGAGTGCAAGGTCGGAATTGTCTCCATGCTTGGAGCCCTGATTCCAGCCACCACGTCCACGTGGTGACCTGTCCCTGGACCTGCCCGAACTCCAGAGACTGCTCCCTTTATGGTGAATACACAGAAGGGGGAAGTTTGGAGGGCTGGGGCGGGGAGGGGCACAGGGCCCTACCTGCCACCAACATGACATGGTGGATGGGATTGGGGAGGGGGCAAGATTGGGAGCTGGGGATTTAAAATTCCAGCCAAGCTGGGATCATCTCCATGCTCAGAGCCCCATTCCAGCCACCATGTCCACGTGGTGACCTATCATTTGGTGCCAGGGTCTGCCTGCTGGCCACCCGGTGGCCTGTTCTGAGGTTTTGGGCTCTGAAATGCTGCTTAGGTATCTGCATGTCAAGCCCACTATACTTCTGGGAAGTCAATCAATACTAAAGAATCCCAATGACAGAGTAACTTTTCCTTTGAAGGTTAGCAAGGGTAATTAGACCTATTAGGTTGGAGGAGAGAGACCAAATAATCTTTATGGATAAGACTGACATACCAAACTCCTTTAAATACTGTGTAGTACTTGTAATCACCAAACACCTGTTCATGCAAAAGCTAAGGCTTGTGTAGCAGGATCATATCCTATTACCTGACATGTTGATGGATCAGGAAATGAGTCATATTAGTCAGGGACATGAAATTAAGTGGCACACGAGAGAAACAAATCCAGGGGTAGATTCTGTGGGGGATGTGGGGCCCAAACCCCATGGACATACTAGACCCACTGGTTATCTCAAGAGTTGAAGAGGTGATGGACTAAACTAGGAGTGATCAAGGAGCCTGCCATCACTCACAGGTAAAGGAACCCACAACAGTCTGGACTGGTAAAGGCAGCAGCACCCAAATGTGCATCCTGAATAGGGTGTAGGGTGGGCTGGGCTGCAATGCTCACCTGCTCATACAAGGCCAAAAGGAAGGCTAGACTATGCCAGACACTGGACTAACACCCACTGGCATGTATGAGAACTGGGTCCAGAAGTGGGTCAAGTTAAGCAACTTGGGAAACTCCCCTAGCAGGTCATAGTTCCTGCTGGTGAACAAATAGTCTAGACCGGGAGGTCGGCCAAGCTGGGCAAAGTAACTCCAATTTCTGGCTAATGTGTGGATTGGTAGTGGAATGGGGTGGACCAGGAAGGACTGAGCAAACCTTAGCACACAAGCAAAATTAGAAATCAGGATGGAGCACATGTCATGCCAAGCTAGGCTCTCGCACCAACTGGTCTGCATGAGCCAGGGATGCTAAGCCACAGTGTGCAAGGCAAGAGCCAGGGCACGTGAGGGGCTGAGCCAAGCTGAGTCAGAGCAACCACTGGCATGCACGTGATCTATGGCCGGAAACAGGCCTGGTTGGGGAGCTAGGGGGACATGGCAGCTGGGTGGAGGTTCCCACTAAGGAGCATGGGGCTGGAAAGGGGGCTGCATTCTGATCTGGATACAGTTATAGTCTCAGCACAACTGTGGCCTGGGACTGGACGCACCAAGCTGGGCCAGACACCAACACCATCTGGTGCTCTGGAGGACCAGGGTAGATGTGGGATGGACAAGGCTAGGTCTCTGTCCCTACTGAGCCATGTGTGAGACTTATGTGGGTATGGACGAGCCATGGCTGGGCTGAAACATCCAACAGTAAGACCCAGATCGGGTTGAAGGCCAGTCAGGAAAAGCCACTGTTCATGCTATGACAGAAGGTAAATTGAGGACAGGCTCATGGACCCACTGGTATGAGTGAAGTTTGACATTGGGAGGGGTTCTGATGGAGGAGCCTGGGCAACTCCTCTGGCAGGACACAGACCCGGCAGGTAAGCACAAAAAACATTGAAGGAAACAGCCCAGAAAAGGCCATGGAAAATTCCCAATGGCATACATTTGGCAGGAGTTGGGGTCAGACCAGGCTGAGTCCGTTCACATCAACCGCTGGTGATTCTGAGCAGCAGGACAGTGTTGGTCGAGCCAGGTTCAGTCGTGACAAAAACCAGTGCACATTACGAATGCCAATGTGAGGTTACCTGTACCGATGTGACCTCAGCGC